AGCGCAGCAGCTGATGATAGGTGCTTGGAACGGCGCGCATTGTATGCAACCAAGTTTGCCCCATGATGAGATTATACGGCGAAGGAAGCTTGACGACCAAGAATTCCACATCCACTGTTCGGGAGCCTGCTCAAACGGGTAGTGTGATTTTCCCCAACGGATACTCTGGATTTGCGTTGAAGCCGAATAGTGGATAAGGAGTCGGGGACAGGTCTGATTCATTGAAGCCGAGTTTGATGAAGGTCTTGTAATACATAACCTTCGAAGTACTCCACTGGTCTCTGAGAACGCGCTCAACGATAAATCGGTTTACGCGTAGTTCAATGACCAGTGGATCAATGTGGGGGACTGTTATGTTGATAAGATCAGAATCGTCGAAGGTAATACTCGGAGCTTCACGTGGCCTTTTTGCTGGCGTTAGTTGCTTTTGGGGTACTAGATGTGATTGAATTGCATGCACGATTGGAGGCGTTGGCAAGCTGTATATCATATGAATGACGCCGGGCGGGGGCGAATCCTGCCGCAGTGTAACTGTTTTGGTTGTGCTCTTTCGGACATGTTGTTGGAGCCGACCATCTTGCACCAACTCCTCAAGGTGGTCTTTCAAAGCATAGCAACTGTCAGTGTCATGACCGTGATCGTTTTGATATTCACACCGCCTATCCCATCTTCTCGTATCGGGAGTGAAAAATCTAGAAATCCCCTAGATGTTGATTTGTGATTATGTATCAATTTTAAGCAGAATATAACAATCCCAATCAAACAATCAAGACAAAGAGACACAACGATTTTAACGTGGAAAAACCACAATTGGACACCTCCAACTGTGATTAAAAAACCACGGGCAATAGCCACAAAACAATCCACTAAGAATATTTAAAGGAATTACACAGGTATACTCTCAATTACCTAGCGAATCCACGCCTAATTGAACCAATCTCTATGTGCCTCTTCCAACCCCGTCTTCACCTCGGAATTGTCTTTACGATGAGCCACTCCGGAATCCACCAAAGCTTCAGGCTCGAATTCTTCAGAATCCACCGAAGAACAACTCTCTCTCTTTTGTGTATAACAAACCAAACCTTTGATGTACTCTTTTTAAACCATGAGTTGAATATTCAATAAAAACATCAAAGAAACTAACAAAATATCTCCAGATATAAACCTTAAGATCCAAAAAGAAGATCTGGAGAGGTAATCCTAAAATCTGACCCAACATGCGAATTTATAGAATCTGTCCCGCGATCTCCGCTCGAGCGCCCAACAGCCCGCTCGAGCGTCCAACAGCCCGCTCGAGCGTCTTCAGCAAAATATGCGCGTGATATAACAGAGGTCCGCTTGAGCGCCAGAAAGCCCGCTCGAGCGCGAAATCACACATCTCAGTACTTTTGCAGGCGACCAAAACTGCTGGAACCAGGAATTCTCCGCTCGAGCGCGGGTATGTCCGCTCGAGCGGACAGGCAATTTTGAATGCATTTTTGCATTTTGCTTCGGGGGCGCTGCCCCTCGACCCCGCCGTGGCGCTGCCCCGGACCCGCCAAGGGGCGCTGCCCCCTGGACCCCCGCAAGCTGACCAGGCAGCTCGATCCCCGTCATAATCAGCGAAGTGGCAATCTTTGGAAGCTTTATCATCACAAACTTCTCTGAAAAGCACAATTCGGGTTGGATTCACATCTAAACACTCATAGCCTCACTGAAATAAAAAGTGGCGAATAAAATTACAACTCAAAGGAGTTTTGTCAAACGGGATTACCAAGAAATAAAACCTAACAGGGAGGTCCCACCACTTTGGACGGCCATTTGAAGGACGGAAGGTGTTGAACTTTGGACATGACTGAGCTGATTGGTTCGCCCCTCTTTCTGGGCTCCGGGGATAATGAGTCGGAGTCACTATCAGCGTCTTGTTGCCGGGCTCGAGGTTGTCGACCACCTGCTTTCAGAGGTCGTTCCGGATCTTGGCGCACGGCTTGTTTGGACTTTGCTACTTCCAAGGCCAAATCCTGACGGAGATGCTCATTTTCAGCGATCATGTTCTCCAACCTTTGCTCGTTTTTCTTTGCATGTTCCATGATCGCTTGCATTGCCTCATGCTCTAGAGTCGAAGGTGAGGCGAAGTGCAAAGCGCGTCTTGCTGGGATAATCTCCGATCCATGCATGTTTGTTGGAGTGAAATCGTCTATCTGCGTGGTTGCATCAGTGACTATTGGAGGGTCTTCCATCACGCCCGCCATGGATATGCTTGAGTATTCCCACAGACGACGCCAATTTTGGAGAAGTGGTTTAGAAATACTCTTCTGATCCTGAGAGACGCTCGTGATCCGTTGATAGTCACCTGAAAAGGAATAAACACTCCGGTCAGGGGTGCCAGAATTAGCACTCCGACGGACAAATCAGTCTCAACACTCAAGATTACTTATATTATAAATTAAGCACAACAATTCTCACATACCTTTCTTAGTCTGTTGTTCTTTTATTTATACTCGTTTCCTGGGCCTCAGGGCCAGGTCCACTTTTCACTCATTATCCTTTTATTTACTCGGCTCCATAGTTCAGTATCTACTTGGCTTATCTGTTTTATTCGGCTTCCTGATCATGCAGGAAAGAGCCGAGTAATATCTGTCTTCTAGAGTATGCTTCTGATTCTTCCAATTATTCGGCCCCCACAATTAGTCAATTCGTAGTTAATTAGCTTAGCTAGTTAGTTTATTTGGACCCTCCTGCGTGAGGGCTCAAACTTGTAATAATGTGTATGTCTTCCAATCCTACGACTTTTTCCCTTTTATTTACTAGCTTATGATGGTTAGTTTAGTAGCATCATGTTTCTTTTAGCATCTCTCATGTTTACATCCACTAGTATTGCATGCATTGAGGCTTAGCGCATCATTCTAACTTGCATCGTTAGTTAAATGCCTCTTTGAATACGTGCTTAGACCGCATATTATCAAATTGATTCATATGCCATGTTAGTGATCGAGTCTAGTAATTGCATATCGCATGCGTTGCATTAGTCATATTGCATTCGTTAGGATCATGCATTTTTTCTAACTCTTTTGTTTATTTTGGCTTGGAGTACTAGGTGAGTTTTTAACGCTTTAGCATACTTGCATGAGTGTAAGTGATTGTCATGTCTAGCATGCTTATCATGAGGCTAAATGCTTATTTGTTAAACTACTTGAATGCCTGTGGATGAAGGCTTGTTGCTTGAATTGAAACAATTCAACGAATGTACGTTTAAGCCCACTATGTCTAGTGGCAAATTCATAGTTTTCAGCCCACTTTGTTGAGTGGCAAATTCGCAAACTTTAAGCCCACTCAAGGTGGCAAAATCAAACCCTTTTTCACAAAAACAAACATGAAATTGAGTTGTTCCAATTCTTGCAATTTTATTCTATATTTGCTTGTGCGTATCACATAGTAATGCTAGCTTAAACAACCGGAACAAGAGCATATAATGTTAATAAAAATCATATTATGATTAGTAGAGATCAGAGGTCAATCTTTGATCGGGTGAGTAGGGGTGCTCAATTCATGACCTTCCCCTCTCGTACCTAAGTTGTGGAATTCACTGTTGGAAATGGTTTGTATTGTTGAAATTAGTTTTAATATCGTTTTTCTTTTATCTTCTTGGTTTATAGGTTATTTTCAAGTATTTCTTGACATGGTGATCCTTTGTGCAGGGTATTTCTGTCCTGCCCTGTCAAAAGCTGTGAAAACAATGAAAAAGGGTGAAATGGTCCATCTCACAGTGAAGCCACAATGTAAGTTCACTTAAAATATCGCTTGAACCTCTGCTATGATAAGTAATATGGCGTTAAATTTTCACAAATTTTTGTAAATTGCCACAGATGCATTTGGGGAGAAGGGCAGACCAACAATTGGTGAGGAATGTGCAGTGCCACCAAATGCCACTCTTCAGATAAATCTTGAATTGGTTTCATGGAAAGTTTTTTCAGAAATTACCAATGATAAGAAGGTTTCAAAGAAAATATTGAAGGAAGGAGTGGGATACGAGCGTCCAAATGATGGAGCAGTTGTTCAAGGTAACTAATTTATGTGAACAAAAAACTTAGAAAAATAATTTATTATTTACTTCATGTTAGAGATTGGGCAGTCCTATAATTTTATATTCTGCCTTTCTGTTGCGGGACAGTAAAATTGATTGGGAAGCTGCAAGACGGGACTGTCTTTCTGAAGAAGGGACATGATGAGGAGCCATTTGAATTCAAAATAGATAAGGTAATTAGCATAATCTTGGCTATATTAGCATTTTTTTTGAAGATTTTTGAGTTTCTTGTTTTCTAAATCATTCTAAGCTTGACTTGGGATTGAATTTTGAACATAACAAGTTATTGATGGACTTGATAAACCTGTCAAAACAATGAAGAAGGGAGAGATTGCGCTTGTAACAATTCATCCAGATTATGCTTTTGGTTCATCCGCATCACACCATGAATTAGCTGTTATACCTGCCAATTCCACTGTGTATTACGAGATTGAGATGGTCTCCTTTGTGAAGGTTAGTGTGAAATTAAATACTTCGCCTATCTGATTTGTTTTTTTATGTGGATTAAGTGGGACTAACACTAGTGCTTAAAAAACTTGCAACTATAGGAAAAAGAATCTTGGGAAATTGAGTACACGGGAGAAGGTTGAAGCTGCTGGAAAGAAGAAAGAAGAAAGAAGAAGGGAATGCTTTGTTCAAGGCTGGAAAATACGAGAGAGCCTCAAAGAGATATGAAAAGCTGTTATTTTGTGGTTAATTAATTTCGGTTGCCTGTGATAAGATTATTAGTTTTCTTGCATCTGATCTTCCTGATAACCCTTTTTTTTCCCTTCTGAGCCACAGGCTGTGAAATTCGTTGAATATGACTCCACATATAGTGATGAGGAGAAGCAACAGGCAAAGGTGCTCAAAGTTCCTTGCAATTTGAACAATGCCGCTTGTAAGTTGAAACTAAAAGACTACAAGCAAGCGGAGAAGCTCTGCACTAAGGTCTTGGAAATTGACGGTAGGAATGTGAAAGCACTTTACAGGAGGGCACAGGCATACATCCAACATGTTTGCAAAGATGAACAAACTAGAGCAAATTAAAACAACTGTAAGTGGTTTTGTACCCTAGTGGCTTATCTTGTAGGATAGAGGTAAAGCATTGTGAGTTTAAAGAGCTTCTGTTGTTGCTCTTTTACTGATTCACATGTTTTAAAATGCAGAATGCAGCAACAAAGCAGGAAGCAGTGCCCATGACCATAGATAGCAAGGCATAATAATGATGTAGCTGGTGTCTAGTTAAAGTGTCCTAAAATGGTTGCTCTCTCTCATATGTGGTAAAAAAAAAAGAAGTGAAGTGTGTGTGTGGAAAGTATAGAGCTGTCGCTTGATTTCTACTATGCAGAAGGATGGTTGTGTGTCAAATTTCTTTAGGATACTAATTGCTTTGAGCTGGTCAATCAATTACTGGGTCATGATGAAATCTGTTATAAAATAACTGAATTGAGTCAAATTTAATGGTGGGATGAATGGTACACTTTTTACTATCTATGAATTTGACTTGAGTTAAGTTAATATGTGTTTCTTTGTTGAAAATTTGATTTTTTTAATTTAATTATTTATTAGATGAGGTTGAGAATATAATTTATGATTCCTCGAAAGCCTAATGTTTATAAGATTTGATTAAAATAGGGTCAACCAGTAAATGAGAAAGTTGCATCAAAATACCCAAATTTACTATGGTCCACATGATTATTTAAAAGAATAAAAGATACAAGTCAAAAACACTAATAGATATAATTCCTTTAAAATAAAATGGTTGGAAGGTTGTCAATAATTCCTTGGAACAACAATTCCAATTATTCAATATTCACTGCAAATACTATTCGAACATCATGCCGACCATCAGACCATGTGATAGCTCCAAACTTGTAACCCCTTGAAGCTTCTTCTTTGCCTTGAAACGAGATTTTAAATGATGCTCTTGTTGAAGCCGCTTTGGCGAAATCAATATTTTTCGGAGACACCTTTACTACCAAACATGGTGGAGCATCGATGGAGGAAACATAGGAGGAATTTGGAGATCCTACATTGGTTATGGTTCTTTCAACAATTTTGAACCCTTGAAGTCTATTGAGTTTGCCTTTGAGATTAATCTTATCATTTTCTGTGAAATTCCATAATAACAGAGAAAATTTAAGTAATCTTTTAAGGTGGTTTCGAATACTAAGCCAGGATTAAGAGCTTTGATTGGGTTTATTTCTCCGACGCCAGTTTCAAGTGGATTTGCAATCTGATTCGAGCTATTTGTCAAAGGTCTTCCAATGTTATTGGACACAACACCTGCAAAATCCAAAACAGAGAAAATTGTTTCAATTTAATCTGTATTTGAATTAACATGAAAATTGAAAATGGGGAATAAGAAATAAGTTTTGAATTATACACAATAATAAATGTAGTTGACGAGTGAAACAACACAGTTGTCAGTTTCATTATTTAGCCAATAGCAATTAGAAAAATACTCAAAAATGATTTGGCATTACATGAAATAGGTTTTTTTTTTGCTACAACTAATGTACCTGTTGTCATAAGTGCCGATTTGATCATGGAGGAACTCCATCTATGATGCATCGATTTAATAAATGCAGCAGCCCTGCTGACATGTGGGCAAGTCATCGACGTTCCAGATCTTAAATCAAACAATGATGGCGCCTTTCCTATTGGAACACTTCCATCTTCCTTGTTTGGCATCGTTCCCGCCAAAATTGCAACACCCGGAGCCATTATATCTGGCTAAAGAACAAACAGTTATTAAGGTTTAACCTTATTGTAGCCAATCAAAGAAACAAAAAAAAAGAAAAAAAAAGACAGGTGACAAATTTGACCTTAAGAATGTTTTGTGTAAGCCATCCGAGACCCCTTGATGAGAAATAAGCAACAACAGGAGCTTGTGTGCACTTTCGAATTTCAGTTGTTGGAAGTATGGTTGCAGTTGGGTTCCTAAATCGATGGTTATAAAATTTGTCAATATAGATTCTTTAAAAAGAAAGGTAAGCAAGAATAATGATTTTATAAATAAGTATGATTAAAAATAATAACTCACTTGGTAGAGTGAATGTAATTCAGAATTTGAGACCCTATAATATTCCCAACTTCAAAAAATGGGAAGATTCCTGAATTGAATGGTAAATCTTTCTCAGCTTCATCGATCAAAATTAGTCCTTCGGCTTTGTCACCTTCAACCACTAATTTTTTGATTGACCTTGGTATAGCTCCTTCAGTATATGTGCAGACAATTATTTTTCCTGCTACTTTTGTTGAATTTAGAGACCCCGGATAGCAGTTCCTGCATTTTCAAATGATCAACAAATTATTTCTCCACAAATGGTGTTAAATAAGAAGATAAATTAGATTTCATTTTTACTGATGCCTGGCATCTGATAATGGTGGAAAATCAGAAGCAACTTCTTCTGCAAATGCTAGAGGATAAGTCTTTGAGCTAGTGAGGTTCGAGAAATTAATTCCAGATCCCTAAAAGATGCAAATACATATGAAATTTAACATCATCGAATCCATCAAAACATAAAGAAGAAGAAAAATGGATTCATATCATCATACTTGGAAAATTTTCCCATTTCCAAGAACTATGGTCGACTTGAAATCGTGATCAATAGTAGAAGCTGCAACACTAAACATCCACGGGGCAGAATTGACGACAGTAAAAGGAGAAGGTCCATCGTTCCCTCCAGAACATGTCACACCCCAAATCCGGGCATGACCGGCCGTGGCCCACAGGGACTTAGCCCAAGGCACACGTAAGCCTAAACATGAACCCAAAAATCTAAAGAATAAATGTGATGATAGCCCAGAAATAAATAAATCAAAACTCAATCCAGTGACATGCCACAAGTGAAAACAAGTCATAACCAACTTCCTAAAAATATATATATACTAAATGGGACACAAACCGCCCATAAATTAAAATAATTCTAAATAAAACCCAACCACAATGTATGCACAAAACTCGACAAAGCAACCTAAAACAAATTAAATAAATGCCCTAGAGGTCCATGCAATTGAGTCCCTGCTACGCCATAAGTCGACTCTAAGTCCTTCTAACACCTGGAAATGGTAAACAACTAAGTCAGCTGATAGCTCAGTGAGTAGCAACATGGATAGTAAATACAGTTTTGAAAACAGGGTTCAATTCCAAAATAAGATATATATCACAGAAACTAGATTGGCATACAGTTTGGTAAATACAATCTGTTTCAAAAATAAGGTTCCACAGTTCAACACTTAAAATACTCATGTCTCGCAAGAACATGATAAACTGATTTAATAATTTTTTTTATTATAAATTGTTCGAACTTGTTTTATCTTAACAAGGATTGCATTGTCGCATTATGACCATGGAAAACGTTTTGACATGAAATGGCTTCATTTGTAGTCATGATCATATACATGCAAATCTTATATACTTTTGTAATATTATCTTTACTACTTGGCAATTGTGCTTACCCTTTCATGGAAAAAAACTATTTTCAAGTGCAGGTGAGTATATCTAAACAGGTTGTTTTCTGCAGCACTTTAAAGAAATTGACGGTTCTCTTAATATACACGAGCAATCAATGCAAGGCCAAAAATGTACGAAACTAGACTCGTAACCGGTTCTAATGACACTAAATTGATAATATAATAATTTATCAAAACAGTTTAATCATGAAACAACAATTTAATTTTTCCAACAGTTCAGGGTAAGGGAACATTTATAAAAATACGTAGCATGAAACTACTCACCTGGAACGAAATAATGTAATCCTCGAATAGAGTATGAAAGTCCAACTAGTGCCCTGAACCAATATGAAAACTACACGTCACTGCTAATTTAAAAATACTAAAGAATACGAACTGAGTAACCCCAAACTAAAGCGCACTAACACGGCTCAACCCAACTCACCGTTACTCTTAAATATTACCTAAGTTCATGTTTTTCAAGGTCTAAAATCACCCACGACATGTGTTCCGATCGAAACTTAACTAAAAATAACTTTAAGATAAAACAGTGTTTTAAACTAGTTTTCCCAATCTATTCGCTAACTTTGAAAATTACAAAACCCACTCCACGCTATTCACAAAATTCCAATAACCTCTAGATATGATCTAATATATCCTAAGTTTCAAACCCAATTGGTTTCACTTGATTTGCTTATCAAAATAATTTTTCTACAATTTATTATATCCAAACAGGTTGTTTTCTGCAGCACTTTAAAGAAATTGACGGTTCTCTTAATATACAAGAGCAATCAATGCAAGGCCAAAAACGTACGAAACTAGACTCGTAACCGGTTCCAATGAAACCAATTTGATAATTTTTGAATTTATACCCAAAGAGAACAACACTCCCGAATTTACTGTTTCGGACTGGTTTCCTGGACAGATTTGAATACCTCAATTTAAATGGATTTTGAATCCCAAAAATTATGAACAAATTCAGATATGTAATTCAATATGTAATTGATTCACTATAAAAATTTCAGATTAAAATTCATCCGTTTGATATGGTTTCTTGATTTTTAAAGTTTGCGATTCTGTACAGAATTTTTGAACTAAGAATTACACCCGTTCTTTACACATAAATTTAGCTCCTCAGATTTCTTAACAGTGTAGACATATATATACAAAATACATAAACCTACAACCTCTCCATGAATGAATAAAATAATTATAGAATAAGGATAGAACAAAGAAAGAAGAGAAGAAAACCTAGGAGGCCACACAGCACAGCACACCCAAAGCTCTCCTTCTTGGCTACAACAATAATCTTGATGATTGAAAAACCCCTCTCTTTCCTTCATAAACCCACGGCTGCTAGGGCTGCTAGTGTTGTGGAAAACAATTATAACAAGAGTTAGGGTTTGTGTTTATTTTATTTTATACTAGTGGTGGGCACACTTAGGTCAAATAGATAGATAAATATACAAAATACATATATAAGTTACATGCAATTCAAATGGTAAGAGTCTAACTTATTAATTTTGTGGTCCAGAGTTCAAGTCACACCCTCTTCTCCATTTTTTTTTTTAATAATAAATCTTGCTTCTAAATCAATGACTTTCACCATAAATTTATTTTTGGTTTAAAATTAATTAAAAGATCCTCCAATAATATTTAATTTGCACTTAAAGATTCATAATAAAATATTTGAGATTATAATTTTATTATTATTTAATTATTTACTTAATTTTTATATTCGGGTTCTCACAGAGGAACTATAGGGATTGTTTTCCGCCCTCCCTTCTGGGCATTGGCCGCTGGAATTGGCGTGTCCTACAGCGG